TTTCACGGGATCATAAATTGAGTTTATAAATTCCTGCTAATGGAGGACTGGTAGTAATAATGATGCATCTTCGCTGGGACACAAAAAACGCTGTTAACTTTAACCGAGTGGTGTTTTTAAATGGGCTTGTGTTAATGAGGTTTTACCGTATTAGGTGATTGGTTCCCTTTCTTGTTGCCTTTTCTGTACTAAAGAAATATGTTGTATTAATTTATTAAGGATGTACTGAGACTAAGGGAGTCACTGTGGTGTAGCGGCTAGGTGCTCATCTTAAATGCATACCAGCTATAGTTCAGGAAAGTAAAGGCAGCCGGCGTGGTGCTGACCACATCATTCACTGAGTGTTGATTGGTCTATAAAGTTTAGGTCTAGTCCTCTATGCCCAAGCTGCCTGATAAGGAAAATGGGGGGGGGGGGGGGGGGGGAGAGAGAGGAGGAGGAAGGAAGACATAGAGAAGAATGTTCTTGACAGCTTTTTTGACATAGCATGGAAAAAAGCCAACACATGAACTAATGTTTACTACTAGAGATCTTGAGATGTGGATTATCAGTAGACAAGCCATTCATTTTTATATGTGTGTGTGTGTGTGTGTAAATACACTCACACACACGCGTATGCACACCACCCATATGATCACATACCCATACACACAAACGAGGGCTGTCCCTCCACATACACAAAAAAGCCGTAGTTAATATGAAAGTGAACGGTATGGGTGACACCCAACATATGCAGCACCCGCATAATTCACATGCTCACTAAGCAACATGTAATGGTTGCAAAGACTTGCAGAGCAACTTCATCACTGCTCTAGTATGCACAGGACAGGCCACTCTATTTGGCTGTCAAGTTATATTTATGCCGTAAAAAACATTCTGTTTCATATTACCTATAGCTTGTTGTTTCTGGACAGCCCTCGTATAAACACCATCAACTAATGACTGACTGACTGACTTTCTACCCCACCAGGACATCACACAAGCGATAAACACCCGATGACACAAAGTGCCACCATGTGGATGAGGATCGCCGTGGAGAGGTCCCAGAAACCGCGTTCAGACAATTGGCCATATGTATGGCCTGCCTATATTGCGGCCCCTGGCAAAAGCCAGGGTGGGGCTTCAAATAACAAAAAATTTTGTCCTAATAAGGACGAAATACATATTACACTACCATCAAAAAAATCTCTAGCAACAATAACAAAATATATAGAAGAAAACTACGATTCTGATGTAGAAGAAAATCAAATGGAAACTAAAGATCTTCAGGAACAAATCAATGCTAAGAGTCTCTTAGAGATTGCTACACCTGCACACAAACCAATGCTAAGAAAACAAAACACTAAAAAAAACATATATTCCTGGCTAGAAATTCTTACTTTCACTACCATCTATTTCTGTAAACATAAAAATGATAAGAGTGCTTTAAGTTAGCTCTGCACAAAATGTACAGACATATGCAAGTTTTTTGTTTTCAAACTGACATAATGCCATAAACATTTTACCTGCTGCAAGTTGTCTTCTAAAGGGAAATATATCAATCAGTAAACATTCTAGGAGGTCAAGATGGCCGGCATGATACTGCGAGCGAGAGAGAGAGAGAGAGAGAGAGAGAGAGAGAGAGAGAGAGAGAGAGAGAGAGAGAGAGAGAGAGAGAGGGAGGGAGGGAGAGAGAGAGAGAGAGAGTGAGAGAGAGAAAGAGAGAGAGAGAGAGAGAGAGAGAGAGAGAGAAGTGATATAAAGAATATTTGCTGTCTTTCAAACTTAATGACTCTTATGCATTAAGTCTGTAAGAAAAAAGAAAGAATTTTTAATTTAACTGAACGTAAATAACAATATGTCACAATGGCACATGACATTAACTCTTTCAGTCCCACAACCTTACATAGCAGTTGCTTCAGGAAAAAAAGAAACCACTATGAAATATCACAACACGCACAAGAATTTCACACAGGCAATCAGGAATACCAGATTTCTGTAGTATTTGATGGCCAAATGCAAAATGTAACAGAACATATGGCGCAATGTTTGGGATTCAATAGAACAATTATATCACACATGATGATGCAATGCTAGGGATGGAAAGAGTTGATATTTCCTGAGTCAGCAGAATATTAGAAGATCTTCTAAGCGGGCAATGTGAAGTCATACAAGGATACATTTACCATATGACAGAATGTGCGTGAGACAGCAAGAATACAAAGACTCAATTTACAATATGACAATGCATCTGCCAGTGTTGTAGAATGTTAAATTACTACGGGGCAATCAGGAAATATGTGCCTTGTAAGCAATGAAAACTGTCATGCTACTTTAGCGTAACTACAAAATTACTATCTTAAGATCAGAATTAGAAACATCCTAAAAAAATTACCTCATATGGTACCAAGAAACTCACCATACATTTACTAGTTTGGTTAGTTGCGTATCCTTTACAGGACGTTGCAGAACCAACCCCAACAGCCCCTGGCTGTTGTGTGGTTTTTCTAGGCAAATTTACCTCCAGTAGTTTGTCATTGCTTTCTGGACGGTCATATTTTTTTTATACCAAGGTCGAAACCAACGCAAGGCGCATGGCCCGCAGTTGGGATTGAACCCAGCGTCCCGGCCTTATGAAGCATTCACATCGACTTAGCCACAGAGCCCAACACATTTACTAGTAACTGTATAAAAATATGTTGTTTTTTTAATCCTCATTTCCAATGTATTTCTGACAGTACTCCAATCGATATCAACTGTCATTTAAACTCATTAGATCAAATATGGTTATTAATTAATTTTATCTAGTCTTTTTTTTTTTTTACACACACAAAAATTGGCTGCATTTCATGGAAGCAAAAAAATAATCAAAAACAAAGGCTCCAGAGAGATTAGAAATGATAAGACAGTTGCTGAAGAAATAAAGAAACAACTGAAATATTTCCGGCCACAGTAAAAGATGTAAGTCTTTTAAAAATCATACTGGAGGAAATAGTCAATGGTAAGAGAGCAAGAGGTAGACAATGATCCTAAGTGGGGGGAAAAATCAAAGCAGGAACAAACAGCAGTCTGAGAGAGTGTACTTCAAAGACAATAGGCAGGGCATGCTGGAGATTCAATGTAATCAACCTTTATTGTGGAGATGGCACCTGACTGTGTGTTTAGTCCTAACATCTAAAACCGATTTGTTCTATGTGACACACAGTATCTCATCATCATCATCAAGCAGCAGTCCTTTGGCACAGGAGTGGAGCAAAGATGGGGTGACCCATCTGCTATGAAGCTGAAACTAAGACTACCAGACAACCAGCAGTCCTTTACAAAACGTTCCTCTTGTTACGGCATGCCTGAAAGTCTCTTGTTACGGCATGCCTGAAAGTCTCTTGTTACGGCATGCCTGAAAGTCTCTTGTTACGGCATGCCTGAAAGTCTCTTGTTACGGCATGCCTGAAAGTCTCTTGTTACGACATGCCTGAAAGTCTCTTGTTACGGCATGCCTGAAAGTCTCTTGTTACGGCATGCCTGAAAGTCTCTCTTTCTCTAGACAATTCTCCAGCCCTATATTAGCATCATAGCCAATGCATTTACATGTCTTGTATTGGCCTTCACTGGGTCTGCCTGTGCCTCCTCTTCCAGAAACTGTACCCTCCATCACTGTTCTCTCTAGCCCACCATGATGTTTCCGGGCAGGATGCTGTTTATGAGCCAATGCTCCTCGATGTACAGATCATGTTAGATGTTTGTCTTTGTCTTGGTCCCTGATATTCTCATATTCTTTTCTGTAGCACTTCGGTTCAAAAGCTTTAACTGTTCTTCAATGATTGAGTAAGAGTCTCTGCATTTTTAAAGGAGTCATTTCAGCAGTGTATACAGAGCATAATAACATACATTATTTTAAAAGTTGTGTTAAGATGTCACAGTCTACGTCTTTGCACAATGGGCATTCCAATGCGTGCTTAATCCTCCGATGCAGCAACCACTCTAATGTACTGATTGTTCCCAGGAGAAGCAGGTTATGGTACCTCCTGTCTTTACCTCGAAGACGGCACAGATGTGCTCCTCGGTCATGCAATCATGTTAGTGTCAGAGATTCAACATTATCCCCCAACCTAGTTTGTACAGCGTTGATGATATCACTTCTGTCAATGCTTTTTCCCCCAATAGGATTGGTGCATTACTTGCCAGCTGGTCAGCTCATTTTATTTTATAAGTATGGTCAATATCTGATATTTATTTTAAAAGTGAGAAGTAAAGAATCCGTTTAGGCAAGTGGTGCTTTGCATATGTGGTGCTTTGCATATATCGTGCTTTGTGTTCTTGGTGCTAGACTTTTTATAAACCAATAGGTCCTTGGTGGGTATGTGGTTGACCAGACGTCAGCTACGTATGCTTTTCAGGACAATGCATGGTTTATATTGATTTACTCTATATTGAATCAAATAATGTGTGGGGATTTGTTGTTTGAGACCTGGAAATGATAAAAGTATTAGGGTCTTTATTAATATCCTACCCCAGATGATGTCACAGGACAGCCCAACATTTTAGATGGTGGTAAGACTCGTGTTTCCCGGCTTTATGATGCTTTTAACAAACCCAAAAAATCTAGAACTGGCCCTAACCCCAACCCACCTACACAACAGAGTGCAGCCTAGGTCCCACGACCTGTGAATTTCCCCTGTTTGGGGTAGGATATTATCAAAGCACTAAGTATAGCACAGATCAGTTAAATATGCAAATAACTTCTTTGTTAAATTGTATTATTAAATCTACTTCAACTTTTGCCTGCCGATATCCATGAAAAAAGAGACCAGGAAATGTCACAGCTAACAATGAATTTATTTCACTATAATTCAATATGGCTAGAGTTATTCAGATAACTTTTGATAACAATGTTTTAAGCAAACAGATGTAAATTGTTGTTGTTGATGCTTCTTACAATGGGGCGTGCAAATTAATGAGAATACATAATCACAACAAGAAACTGGCAAAAGTTACAGTCAGTCACACACACAGGAGCTTACCAGCTGGGTGAAATGGATAGAAGTCGATGGATAACTTATAGAATGTTATCTGCATGGAGCCTCCGTTAATTTTCCAGTGTCTCTTTACATCCTCAACTGAAAGAAAAGTTGCAATTCATTTTAAAAATAAGAAGTGAAAGAGAGAAGTAAATAAGAAATTAATCAGACATGGTTGAAAAAGGGACAGGTGTCTTCTCTCCTAAACTGACTCAGTATACTACTCAGTTGGTAGTTATTGCTGAAGACTTATTGTGTTCCAAATCTCTACCAGAGGCGAGTGAATAGTTAATATTATTCTAATTTGATCTATTGCTGCTAATTCCCCTGGGTTTATTTTATCTGCTGCACTCTAGAAATTGTGCTGCCCACATGTGGGAGAAACCTTGATGAATTTCTTTCTCCTCCTAACAATTCTTATGCTCTAGAATGTACATGTATGTAAACATATCATATATCAGTTGATTGATTTAATGTTTATTTGATACTAGTAACATGAATTGGTGATTTTGATTATTATAAGTATATTTAATAATTGACAATTGATGTCCTCATGTGAAATCTCAGCCAGTCCCGATTTCCAGCAGATTTGACGAATGAAGGAAGCAAGTGTACATACACTATACCTAATCCTTGGTATGTTTATTGAACCCAATGGTGATTTTAGTTTCAACAGACACTGTTTGGGGTTAGTTTACATTTAGTTTAGAGAATTCTAAGACTAGTTTAAAAACTCGAAAAGGAAATACCATGTGATGGCTACATTTATTAGATTCACACTGTCGGAGAAGAAAGGAGGTGTATGGCCCATGCTCGTAATAATTACGGTTATATATAATTACTGGCGGCGTCCGTGGCTAAGGCGTTGCGAGTCCGACTCGTAAGCCAGCATACCGCGATCGAAACCCACTGCAGGCTGCGTGGATTTTTGTCGTGGTATGGGACGTCGCAGGTCGACCCAGCCTAAAATGGGTACCAGGATGGGCTGTCCTGGGAAAGTAAAGACAGCCGCCGTAATGCTGACCACATTACCCACCGAGTGCTGATGGTCTGTAAAAATATGGGACGACGCTCTGCCCATTTGCCCAATGCGCCGAAAGGCGTGAAAAGGGATCTTTACTTTACTTATATATAATTACTAGGAAGATATTTCAGTACCTTGTGTGTGGCCCAATAATTTTAATGATTATATTTCACCCTTCCCAACTTCTTAACTATATTGAATTAGATAAAGCAAATGTATTCATTTAAAGTTAAATTGAAGTTAGTGTTGTTGGATACATTATGTTACTAATGTGACAGATGGGAAACCCCATTGTCAGCTATGATTTTCTTATGCTGACTGAGATATTTATAATTTCCATTCATTTTCAAACTGCCTAACTCACGTATTATGAGCTTCACACCCATGTAATTTCACTCCCAGATTCCCATTCTTTGTAATATGAACCCGGGTGGCTGAAATAAGAATACCTTGTGAAATGTGACTGTGTGTTTAAACTTGTCAGCTCCTTGTACTGGTGTAAACAGAACAATTCACACAGATGAAGGATTTCTCTTTCTGAGTGATGTTAAACTCATGTGCTTGAAAATATTCTTGAAAATGTTGTTTATGAAATATTTCCCCATCAGATAGATAGACACTATTCTGCAAACATTACCATTCTATACCGGACAAAAAAGTGAAACTATGTTACTATCCTACTCCATATGTATGTCATCATCATCATGTAGCAGGTCCTTTGCAGAACGTTGCTCTCATCACAGTCTGCCTGAAAGAAACTCGGTCTCTTGCCAGTTCTCCCGCCTCTTGCACTTTCACATTCAAGGAGTCACTTATATCCTGTGCCACATCATCTTCGTGTCGGTCGGCCCCTGCCCCTCCTTCCTGGTACCACGCCTTCTGCTATAATATGTATGTAGTGTAACAATACATGAGGACTGAAGGCAGTGTGGCCTTCGGTCTGAACTTTCCCAACCGCTTCTACAGGGACTGTTCAATTACTTTAGTTCCAGGTGAGGGAGTCAGATTATCTTGACTGGACTAGAAGATTCGACCTGCCTGAAGTGTTCCCTAGGCTGAGCCAGAAGCTGACCCAAGGAGCACAAACTACAGATAAGTGGACATATCAGTCCAGTGTCCATCCGGGATTATCTCCCTAACTAGTCCAATGATTTGAATACATGATCGTTTTAATGTTCTTCCAGTCTTATAAAGTTATTTTAACAGTGTATGTCAGTGAATTAAATACATGATCATTTTATTGTTCCTTCAGTCTTATAAAGTTATTTTAACAGTGTATGTCAGTTAATTAAATACATGATCATTTTAATGTTCTTCCAGTCTTATAAAGTTATTTTAACAGTGTATGTCAGTGAATTAAATACATGATCATTTTATTGTTCCTTCAGTCTTATAAAGTTATTTTAACAGTGTATGTCAGTGAATTAAATACATGATCATTTTAATGTTCTTCCAGTCTTATAAAGTTATTTTAACAGTGTATGTCAGTGAATTAAATACATGATTATTTTAATGTTCTTCCAGTCTTATGAAGTTATTTTAACAGTGTACATCTGTAAACACTAGGTAGTACATGTTACTACACATAACTACACCATCTATTAACAATAGAGAATCAGATATGGGCAAACCCTGAATCCTCTCCTTTAACCAGCAAAGCCGGAAGATAAATCAGATCTTTTAGGATGCTTCACTGTTTGAGATTCTCTCTGTATGCTGTCCACGTGCTTGTGAGGTCTCGTCTTCTGGCAATGGTATCGAAGTCAACCTCATAACAGCAGTATTGTTTATGTCAATCCTTTGCTGTCTTGTACAGAACAGAGGAGGAATCATGTTATATTGCCTTCTGTAGACTGCACATAGTGCAATCGCTATAACAAAGTGAATTCCACACCACAATCACCTTCTCAACACCAAACTTCTCTTCAGGGCAATGGGTTGGAGTCGGTGAACAACGAAATACCTATAACCTATGAAGGAAACATTATCAACGTGGATATAATCTCAGCCAGTCTGTAATCTGATATGGCGCTTTTTTATGGCAGTGATTAGCGTTTAATGATTAGAAAGGGTTCTCATCACAGCACTCCGGACAGATCCATAGGTGCTCTGATTTCCTCCTCAAAAGCTCCACAAGTGTAAAACGACTGATGACGTCTGTTCTGTGTTGGTTAATGAAACATATTGTCCTCTTAGTGAAATGTTCATTTCTTGCAGCTCCAGACTGCACCTTCATCGTAGTGTTACCAAGCAACAGTCCAGTGTCAGTGAATATGATATGGATCCCTGGCAGGCCTTTGAAAATAAAAGGGGTCTTATGTAACCGAGAACTACTGTTTTAGAGAATTCTCAACTAACAAACCAACCAACCAACCATCCAGCAGTGCATTCACCCAACCAGCCTCCATTCATTCAACCAAACAATAATGCAACCAATCAAAATCCAATAATCCAACCAACCAATCAACCAAAAAATCTGTTCAACCAATCAAACTCCCAAATGCACTTCAACCAATCACCAGAGATCTTACCAGGACTGCTGTCATCACACAGATGAAGGTCAAACCTGCTGGTAATCAGATGGTATGAAGTACTGAGCACATCAAAGCGGGAGAAATATTTGGCTGTAGTCGACTCCTGCCTCTCTGGGGTTGACTTCTGTTGCTGCTGCTGACTGTTCTGGTTGCCTTCTGGTATGTAACCTTGTTTCTGTTTAACAGATATTAAATGAAGTCTTAATGATGAATATGCAACTATAAAACTGTACAATCTTCACTGTCTGTAAGGACCACGCATGTGCATGCGTGTGTGGTGTGAGTGTGTGAGAAAGAGAGAGAGAGAGAGAAAGAGAGAGAGAGAAAGAGAGAGAGAGAGAAGAGAGAGAGAGAGAGAGAGAGAAAGGGAGAAAGAGAGAGAAAAAGAGAAAAAGAGAGAGGGAGAAAGAGAGAAAGAAAGAGAGAGAGAAAGAGAGAGAGAAAGAGAGAAAGAGAGAGAGAGAGAGAGAGAGAGAGAGAGAGAGAGAGAGAAGTAAAACAAAAAGTCTTGAGCTGAGGATTTAAGGCTATTGGGGAGGCAGTGAGTCTATTTTCTTTGCCCCACAATGGGGCCTCATAACCCACACAGGTACAAAGACTCAATTACCTTCAGTTTCTCTGCAGCCAATCTTTTGCTCTGTTGTGCTGATCTCTCGATGACCTCCTTCAGGGAGTTAGCATAGAGAATGGCTGCCTTGAGCTGTGTGATAGTCAGTACCCACAGCAGATCGTCCAACAGCAAGGCCAGTCTTGAGGAAATGATGGCACAGTCTGAGGGACAGAAAATATATCTGTTGTATACAACCATCAATGGTAGACAATCTTCACTGTAGACGTTTGTTGTAGACAATATTCACTGAAGAAAATCTTCATTGAAGACAATTTTTATCTGACCACAATAGACAATTTTTTAAGTTGTGTGAAGTAAATACAGGAAGTTGTATAACACTGAGGATTTGTGTAAGTGTAGGGAGCTGTAGAAGCCTAGAGCTCTAGAAGCCTAGGGTGTGTTGCAAGCTGGAGGAACTCTGTAAGTTTAATGTTATGTATAGTGTAAGGAGTTATGTAAATTAGAGAGCTGTGTAAGTACATTCAAAAATTGTTGAAAGGATTTTGCAAGATATGTCGGTGATATCTGAGGTATTTAGAGAAGAAAAGTGTGTGCATTTTAAAAATTCCCGAGCAGCTAAAAATGATCAATGATCAATGGCTCTCTTCACGGCAGGCCTGAAAGTCTCTCTTTGTCTAGCCAATTCTAAAGCACTGTGTGTTTTCACAGCCAATGCATCCTCAATGTCTGTATCCACATTCGTTGCGGTCAACTTCTGCCTCATTTTTCGAAACTGCACCTTCCATCACCGTTCTCTCCAGACCACTAATGGTGCTTTACCTCAACTTTCAGGAGATGCTGCTGTTGATGAGTTTTCCTCGATGGTCAGGTCACGCAGGATGTGAACGTTTTTATTCTTTTTGGTCCGTGGTATTCGAAGAATTTTTCTGTAGTATTTCAGTTCAAAAACTCTGATCTTCTTCTTCAAAGACTGAGTGAGTCCATGACTCACATCCACAGGTTGCCATGGGAAAGATGCAGAATCTCAAATATGTTTACTTCAACTTGCTTGCAGTTACCACAGGTTCTTCAGAATGATAAATCAATCATCATAAATAAACAGAGCAGATGGCATTTAAAAAAATGAATACATTACCGCTCAGTCTTTTCTTGACACAAATTCTGATTTTGGCCTGGTTGGCTATCAACCGCAGCGGAGTTAGGAAATCTTCATCAAGGCCTATTGCAGTAGCTTCAATCCGAGTAGTCTGCCATTCAATCTCCTTAAACAGCAGAACCTCTCCCCGAGCCTGGTCCCGGATTCTCGTTGATCTCAGCTCAGTCGGAGTTTGCCATGTTGGGGTCATTGACTGCACTTTCACCCTTGACAGCTGCAACCAGATTTCAAGGAAATTAAATCAAATGCACAAATAAACAATAATTTCACTTCAAGAGTTGAGGACAAGAGGTAGGCATAGGATAGGACACTCGATGATATAAAGTGATGACGATGTAACTAGCACTGATGTTCCTGCACTGAAACCCACAAGGTTAAAGGAAAATGTGGTAGAAAGCCAATGTTTCCTTGGGGGACAAAGTGCAGAAGAAAAAAAAAAGAAAAATATGTATACTGCCATGTATGGGGATTTCTGCCACTGTTGGTCCTAATCCAGGATGAGAAAATAGGAGGGTTGGGCATGCAGCGAGCACCCCCTCTCCCCCCCCCCCCCCCCACAAATTGTGTAAAGCAACTGTGCACAACTTGTAACAGAGGCTAGTGGCAGGCAAATACATTAAGCATGACTATGAGATAACCGCTGCTTTCACAGTACTACCATGGGCAGCAGGACAAGCAGTAATCACATCAGACTTTATGAACATGCTTCTAAAAACTGTAAGAGGTAGTTATAGGTTCTGAATGTGTAGAAAGCATTCAGAAATCGCACTGAACCTCCCTCACCTGAGTATGCCAGCGTGGACAGAGCAGCTATCGCCAACGCTGGCTGTAAGGCTAAGTTAGTAGGTAATGCTGAATCTCTGACACTAACATCACTGCATGACATGGCAGTAAAGGATGTGGAGCCCGTCTACTCTGCCACCTTTGAGGCAGAGATTAGATAGACTATAACCAGCTCCTTATGGAAACAATCAGTAGTAGAGAAGAGGTACTTTGGAGTGACGGCTGCAACAGAAGACTTATGATGCATTGAAATGCTCCGTATGATGTGGACTGTGATAACATAACATATACACCCAGCCATAGAAACTCACATAAAAACATGCCATTCCAGCAAATTAACAGATCAGGCAGCGTACAGTGCACAGAGTGCACATATGATGTCTGCTGGTGAAAGAGGTTCTGAGAAAGTCATCAGCCAGGAATGCACACAAAATGACTCAAGAAAGAAAATATTATGAAATGCAAGAATTAATGGTGAGCCAAGGTGACGCAAAAAAGGTACAAACAAACGAAAACAACTTTATTTTGAAAGGTTCACAAAGGGTGTGCAGGCCTGTCATACATTCTGCCCTTCCAAAAACTCATCATTCAGACTACAACTATATTTTATTAATAAAACCTTTTGTGTTCATGTACCAGTTTACAAAAAATTAATATCAAGCAAAAAAAAACCCAAAGGTATGCATGGTAAATGCCTGCAAATATATATGTATATATACACACACACACACACACGCAAACATACACGCATTCATACCCATATTTACACAGGTACAACAGAAAGAGGATGTTAAGCACAGGTCATAGTACCCTCTCTCCGTGTAGGTCCCAGGGCTCCATTGTGGGGGAAAGAAGAATTGACACTCAGGTTCTGGATCAAGACTAAAGTCAAGAGGTGGATGAACAACCAGAGCTTTCCGTCAGAGTTTACAATTGATGAACGTGAAGAAGAAGAAGAAGAAGAATAGTACATCGTTGGTTGATTTCTTGATGAATCCACTTGAAGAATGAATTTTAGGGAACTGCTGTAAAATAGTGACTGGATGCTAGACAGCCAGCCCCAAAGCCAGATTTAAAAACACAAAAAGTCCTTGGCTTCCAGGTCAACCCAGCCTAAAACTGTACCAGGTAAAAGTCCTGGGAAGTAAAGACAGCTGCCATGATTTTAACGGCACCACCCACTGAGTGCCGATGGGTCTATAAAAATTTGAGTCTAGCTTTACATGCCCGATGTGCCACTGGCATAAAAAAGGGTTCTTAACGAGGTTTAATTCTAAGGATAAGCTACTCTTTTTAAAAAATCTCCCTTAAAACCCAAAGGGATAAAAAAAAGGAAGTTAAGAATATCTAAGATAAACCTTGTGTGGGTTCTGTAGCCTCCCTCTAAAGCGAGTCACTGCCCCCTATCAATCATGTTGTAAAATCTGACTTATTAAGGGTTTGTTTAAATCAGATATGCTGGGGGACTGCAAATCAAAACACAATGTGCCAACCACCCTTTCAAGAGTGGATGCGACAAGAAATTCTGAGGTTACTGATTCATATCCTCTTCACAATCTCACCTGTAAAGATGCATGGAATTTATGAGACACGAGCTTGACAACAACCGAGTTGACATGAATGTAGATCCCATCCATCACACGATCCACAAAGCCATATTTTCCAGCTGCTCTGTTAGATCAGAAAAGAAATGAGGACTATAATTTAATACATAAATAAAAACGTGAAAACTAATTCAACCTAAAATACATTTATCTTCGTTTCTTTTCTTTTGTGGCTATGCATCGCAGTTTAACAGATAGGTAGCTGAGCCAGGGCGTACACAGTTGCTTGATATGCTGTGAAGTTTTAGGCTTCAGTGACTCCTTCAGTCCATCTTCTTGCAGGTTTCCCTGTGCATTTTGGTGTTTCCATTTCTCAAGTTGTAAGCTTTCCAGGCAATGTTGGATTCATTCTCACGAGGCGGCCGAATCATTCCAGTCTTTGTTTCTGAAAGAATTTAATGCTTAACGAACATACCATAAATGAGATTGTTTCCTTTTCCCTAGAAATACACTTTTGGGTGGGTAAACTGGCTATCATCCCACTCATCATCAAATAGCAGATCTTTTAGAGGACTTGGTTCTCATCACAGCAAGTCAGAAAGTCTCTCTTTCTCTAGAGATGACTAGTACGGCTATAATACCTCAGCTTTTGAGCCAGTATGCTGTCAAACGGAGAACGATTGCTTCAAAGAAGCTAATGAAAGTAGATCTCTATATACAACAATAAGAAAGAGATAAACACTGTTCTTTGGCCACATATTGAGAAGGGAGACATCGGAGAACATCGTGATAACTGGAAAGATCAGTAGAAAAGGAGTAGAGGCAGACCAAGAGAGATGATGCTGGATGGGCTGAAACGATGGCAGAAACGGAGGGATATCATCAAGAGAGCTATTCCAGGAAACCAGGGATTGTGATCTGTGGACACGCATGAGCGCCTATGTCGGTTGGCAGGGCACATGGTGATGTCTATGAGCCAGTTCTCCTTGATGTTCAGATTATGTAGGATGTCAGTGTTTTTCATTATCATATTATCACATTACAGACTTGTTGAATATTTGTTTACTGTAAGGGACCTACTGATTGATGATGAGTCCGTGAGCAACTTCAGCAATAACTACAGACTCTCACTCCATAGACACGTTTTTATTCTCTGCCCAGTTGTGCTGCACCCTTCCTTTTAAAAAAAAAAAAACCCAATTTCATAAATCAGTGAAGACTATATGTGCACAGTGTCAAAGGCACGAAGACTTGCTGACTATTCACTGTCTCTAGATATCCCCCTCCATCTCCTACCGTCCTCCACGTTATATCTACTTGCCCTATCTCTTTCCTTCTACAGAAACCACGCAGATCCACAAACATAAGAATGGAAATCAATAGCGGCTTTTGATTGATGTCAGCTGACAAAAAGCTATCCCCAGAAATAAGGGACTTCCAGTAACACAGGCGCAGTGTCAGCGAGTTATCGTTCTGGTTAAACTAGACCCCCAACTCTGGGCTCTTATTTTCTACGTTAGGAACATCGATACTCACATTTTATCTTATAGTCTCTCCTCTTCCCCCCCCCCCCCCCCCCCCCCCCCCCCCCAGTAGCTTAAGAAAATATAATGAGCAGGGAGCAAGCGGATGGGGTGAGATCGGGTATAACTTTACAGGAGGATGACCAAGCGGATGAGGTGAGGTCAGATATAACTTTACAGGAGGATGACCAAGCGGATGGGGGTGAGGTCGGATATAACTTTACAGGAGGATGACCAAGCGGATGATGAGGTGATATAAGGTCAGGAGGATAAGCTTTGACAAGCGGATGGGGGATCGGATATAACTTTACAGGAGGATGACCAAGCGGATGAGGTGAGGTCGGATATAATTTACACGAGGATGACCAAGCGGATGAGGTGAGGTCGGATATAACTCTACAGGAGGATGACCAAGCGGATGGGGTGAGGTCGGATATAACTTTACAGGAGGATGACCAAGCGGATGGGGTGAAGTCGGATATAACTTTACAGGAGGATGACCAAGCGGATGGGGTGAGGTCGGATATAACTTTACAGGAGGATGACCAAGCGGATGGGGTGAAGTCGGATATAACTTTACAGGAGGATGACCAAGCGGATGGGGTGAGGTCGGATATAACTTTACAGGAGGATGACCAAGCGGCTGGGGTAAGGTCGGATATAACTTTACAGGAGGATGACCAAGTGGAGGGGGTGAGGTCGGATATAACTTTACAAGAGGATGACCAAGCGGATGGGGGTAAGGTCGAATATAACTTTACAGGAGGATGACCAAGCGGCTGGGGTAAGGTCGGATTTAACTTTACAGGAGGATGACCCTGCGGATGGGGTAAGGTCGGATATAACTTTACAGGAGGATGACCAAGCTGATGGGGGTGAGGTCGGATATAACTTTACTAGAGGATGACCAAGCGGATGGGGGTGAGGTCGGATATAACTCTACAGGAGGATGAACAAGTGGATGGGGTGAGGTAGGATATAACTTTACAGGAGTGTAGTGAATCCCATTTTCTCCTAGATAATTTATGCCTAGACGGCATGACGTCAGTAATAAATGTGAGTGGAATATTTTGAGTCTAATTGGGACAACACGGGAATTGCTGATAGTCTAACTTCACGGGAATTGTAGAGAAATGCTGACAGTCAAACTTCATGTGAAGTGTGATTATTCACGGGGATCACAAATAAAGTGCTTGCCAAATAGAATTCGGGTAAATCAGGGAACACGGAGAATTCGGGAATACAAAGAGGAGCATTAGAAGGCTATATAATGCTTTAGAAAGGGCTGGGAGTCTCGTTTAGGCCTAGGAAATGAATGCATGACGAATGATAGAGTGTCTGCGGGATCCAGAAAGAGTGTTTAGTCTGGTGTGTCTGCACAGTGTTTTTCCAACGCCTACCTGGCCATCAGTTGCGGCGAACGGAAGTCGTAGCCAGCTGAGAATGTTTTGTGTTTTTGATCGGAAGGAATCGTTGTTGCTCATTCAATTGTGGGATGGATGTTAGATTTGGGTGAAGATGACATGTTAGATAAGTGAGTGACTATGTTGTCCATTAACATTTACTGGCTGCAATACCAGTGAGTGACCAAATAAACCGTACGTTTAATTTGGATCGTTCGACAGTTTTCTCGTGTGTTGTCAGTCGGTGAATGGAAGCGTGCGATGACTCACTCGAGCCAGAAGAAGACAAAAGAAAGTCATCACAAGGAGGATGACCAAGCAGACGAGGTGAGGTCGGATATAACTCTAAAGGAATGAAGAATAACTGACGCACAGCATGATGGAGATGGGCCAGGGAAGCGGATGGGTGGCAGACATAATGATATCCCCATGATATCCCACCCCCCCCCCCCCCCCAACTTCAGGAGGTAAACAGAGGAAGAGAAGAAAAGGTGGTAGCAGTAGTTGTGGCTTTATCATCATCATCTTCTTCTTCCTCCTCTTCTTCTTCAAGGAAGGTGTGGAGTAGAGAGGGAAGTTGTGCGGTGGAGAGGTAAGGGGTGTAGAGATAGAAAAGGGATGGAGTAGATAGGGAAAGGTGGATTTGATATGGAAGGGGTGGAGTAGATAGAGAAGGGGTCGGAGTAGAGAGAGGAGTAGAATAGAGCGTGATGAGTATAGCCGAGTGGAATATGTGCAGAATATAGAACAGCGGAGTAGGAAAGGAAGGCTATAAAAATTGACACATAGAGAGATGGAGGGGAAGGAAGTGAGGGAGTTACACATACAGAGTGAGAAAAAAAGGGGGGTGTTAAATTAGCCCCTCTAACTCCAGCAGGAGATCAAAGACTAGAACGTACCGAGCCTGAATGCATGTCGCCATGGAGACATCGAATATGACAACTTCCGCTTGCAATGGCAATTATGAAACGGCCAACAGAGTTATCTCAAATAACATTCAAGGACCCCCCCCCCCCCCCCCCCACCAACCCACCCATCAAACTATGAAACCCAGTGAGGCATATGGAAAACAGACCGCAAACACAGAAATTATCTTGGGCACAGCAGGAAATGATTTCAAATAAACTCTTTCTAGTCATGAAGAGATGACAGATAGGAATCGTAATTGCTGGCTTCGTGCTGATGGACAAAAAAACAGAAACAGTGTGAGAGAGATCAGCTTAGCTGGACGGTTCATGGGACAAGAATACAATTAACCGATGGATGCACGAACAAACGGAATGGAAGACGGATGGGACGACTTATAAAAAGAGAAGGAGAGTTCAGGACATTTAGCAATACAGATACTGGTAAAGGGGAAGGTAGTTTCTAGTGAGACGCTGGTGTTCTTGTCTTCTTCTCCTCCTCTTTCTCTTCTCCTGCATCTTCTTCTAGTCGGTGCCGTGTGGTGTTGGCAGTTATGCCCGTCGACAGCCTTCTGTCTTGTGTAAAGGATTCTTTTGCACGCTTTCAGTATCTTGGGCACATAGTGTCAGACCTATATTTGATAGACCAACCGGCATTCGGCTTCTAAGCAGTCAACATCCACTGCAATTATTTACGTTTCACTCAGTCATTTACAGTCTGCGAAGGAAGATACCAGCGTCTGAATTATATTGACAGATAAGGGCTGAAATGGTTCGGCCATCTAGTGAGAATGCAGCCAGACCAAACTGCATTTGATACTTTTTACAGCAGAATATTAGGGGGGAAGGAGAGGGGAAGATAATAAAAGGAAACTGGTAAAAGGTGTCGCTAAAATCTGTAAAAAGATGAAAAACAAATCCATTACTCACACCGCGGGAGAAGCGCAAGACAAATATTGAAAAGAAAAAAAAAGCTACGTCACTGGGCTACAACCGGGTATCAGTGAGGCGACAAAAGAAGAGGTAAGAAGATAAAGCCTGTCCCCGGTTTCATATCCTTTACGGAAACCAACTTGAAAGCTGTAGAGAAACTTCTAAGACTACATCATCCGCCTAGGATTATTGTTAAGCCGCCCATCTACTAGACTGCGGAAGTTAGAACTCAGTGACATTAGTCTACAGCTTGGCTCACACTATTAACGTTCTTATTTTGTTTCCCAGATGAGCTCGATAATGGCAGTGTTCCCATGCTATAGGTAGCTTTAAATTGGGCCTGGCTGTGTTTAACAAGATTTACCCTTGCCTCCATGATTTTGGAGCTTTTAATTGGACACCGTGTCTCGATCAGCGGTTTTTTTTTAAAAAGCTGTATGCTCTTTCGAAAGATTCTCAGAATATCTTGGACAAAGAAGATGAGAAATATTGACATCTTAAAAGATCTGAACATCGAGGAAGATTGGCTAATAAACAGTATCCTTTCTCGGAAGCTGAAATATTTTGGTCATATCAAGCGCCACAACGGATTGGAAAAAATTATAGCAGAAGGCATGGTACCAGGAAGGAGGGGCAGGGGCCGACCGACACGAAGATGGGCACAGGATATAAGTGACTCCTTGAGTATGAAAGTATATGAGGCAGGAGAACTGGCGAGAGACCGGGTTTCTTTAAGGCAGACTGTGATGAGAGCGACCTTCTGCAAAGGACCTGCTACATGATGATGATGATGATGCTCTTTCGTGAGAGCCTCAATAGTGCAGTGATTAGTACGCTTGCTTATCGGTGCGATGGTCGAAACCCTATTAAGGCAGCATCCTTGTTTCCCCCCCCCCCCCATGATCAGGGCAGCCATGTCGATGTCGACCCAGCTTAACAGGGGTACTGAGAAATGCACTTGCCTCCCCCCCCCCCCCCCACCCTTCCTCCTGGATTTAAAAAAAACACATTTTGATACAGCTGCTGGAAATGCACGTTACACATCACACCGAACGCAGAATGATTTGATCAATTTGTCTGAACAAGCTCTGCGAGAAGACATTGTAAAAGCTACTAGCAATGCTGTTGGATTCTCGATCATAGTCGATGAAACAGCAAATATCTTAAGAATAGAATAGTTATCACTGAGAGTCCGGATTGTAGATACGTCTAGTGAGAAGGCTATGATTCGTGAGGAATTCCTTGGATTTTCTCCGCTGAAAGGTATGGACGCCGCCACGATATCTGATTGTATTATTCAACATTGCAAAACATTTGGTCTTTTCCCTAATAATCTGCTGGGTCAAGGTTATGATGGGTGCTTGACAATCGCCGGAAAAGAAAATGGTGTTCAGGCAAAAATTCGAAGTATTTACCCCAAGGCTGCCTTTGTTCACTGTGCCTCGCATAGACTGAATCTCGTAGTAAATGATCTTAATAATGTTGCAGTGATACGAAATACTATTGGTACAATCAAAGCAATCATTACATTTTTTCGTGAAAGCCCAAAAAGGAGGTCCTTTGTCTCAAATATTCCTCTTCTGTGTGAGACAAGATGGACAAGCAAGTATAAAAGTTTTCGGATATTTTTTAGTAAATTTGAAGATATGTATTGTCAACTGGAAGAATTTTCATTGCATGCAAGTGGAAATACACGACAGGCTGCACATCAGATATATTGTTTATCAAAGTCCAGCACGTTTTTATTTTGTCTCAATATTATTTCGCAGTACTCTGCCATAATGGAACCAGTTACTCAGGCTCTTCAAGCTGTTCAAGTTGATTTTCCAGAAGTCCAACTGCAGTGTAGTAAAAATTCACCGAGGTGATTCCGATAACCATTTCAGGGATATTTTTGAGAAAACAGTACAACTCGCACAGAAAGTGGATATTGAACTGATTATCCCAAGACAGTGTGGAAGACAAAAGCATCGAAGTAATCTGGGAACCATAAGTGTTGAAAAGTACTTCAGACAAACAGTTTACATTCCATACTTAGATTCTCTAATTCACTCAATGGAAAGTCAATTTTGTGAAGCCAACAGTGCACAATTTAACTTAGCGTTGCTACATCCTTCGAAATTGTGCAAACTGAATCGTCAACAGTTTAAGGTTATAATGCCTACTATTAATCAGGTATGCCACATTGATAATTTTGAAACTAAAGCCTTGAGTTGGTTTGATTTTTGGAAAACGCGAGAATACAAAAGTAGCCAAGATTTCATCGACATGTTACTTTTTACAACGTTTTATCCGAGTGTCAGGTATGCCTTACTAGTTTTGCTAACATTACCAGCAACAGCATGTACCGTGGAGCGATCGTTGGAAGAGGGTTGGGTGTAGGGCCACACTGCCTTGGCCAGCAAATTTAACTAGCTACCTTACAAAAAAGAAATCATTCCGCCAACCTAACTAGTCAAGTGGTGAGTTCCCGGTGTGGGTTTCAGCACCCCATGTGAGGGGGGTAAGAGCAGACCCACTGAGCCTCACCTAAAAGCATGTCGTAAGGGGCGATGAATTAGGGGTGTTTTCTTCGAAGTTGGAGTGCACCTACCTCAGAGGCGAGGAACCAAGAGTCTGCCAGACTTCTATCTGGTACCCATTTAAGCCCTCGAGCTGGGGAGCCAAGGTCATTTCTGAAGGGAAACAAATATGTCCGGTTCCGTTAGGATCTGAACACTCAACCTCCGGATCAGCAGGCCAGTCAGCATCTAGCAGCCACACCGCGGACTGGGGGAGGTGATGGATAATGAAATACTTAAAAGCTGTCGAGTAAATCGCGGCAGCGTGGTGGTTTGAAGCTCGACTGCTGGCCTGAAGGTCTTGAGTTCAATTCCACATACATCCTAATCTTGTTCGCCAGAAATGACATTTGCTCCCAGATTGAGGGCAAAGACCAACATATTTGTTTTCATATCATATTTCTTCCCGTAGGCGTTGAGGCTGTTTATGCGTTGTTGGCAGTTGTCCTTATATTCGTATCATCTGGCATGATTGCCAGCAAATCAGCTCATTCATATCCGCCTGCTAGAGGGTTTGTTTACCTCAATGTTCGCCGTTTTAAATTATGACCTGATTTTCCTTTTTCCTGGCATACGAGTTAAAATAAAAACGAGTCATCTTAACCAGAAAAAAAAAGGGGGTCCACCGGCGCCGGAAACGATTTCCATGGGGCCTTAGAGATGATTATGTCCAGTAATTAAGGGATTTAAAAAAAACATCCTGTTAGGACTGGCCGGATCTTAAAACGCTATTGTCATTGCGAAATGGCTATGCAAATGTGCATCGATCTGGTCACATGTCTCTAAGCCAAACTGGCATGTGAACAGAGTTCAGTAGGCTGTCAAACGGATAAATTCATTTTCGTTAGTTAGTATGCAAACAAGGAAATCTTAGCAAGAGGATTTGAAGAAACAATATTTCTTCTTCTGTGTTAGCCCATAAAAGGGTGGTTGACAGGCTGTGTTGTAGATAACAGCTAGTCTGCGATAGCTGCGCCTTTCGACCCAATACATCTGATTTTAAAAAACGGTTAATTAGTCCTATTTTACGACTACTTCTTAAAGGTTAGTACATTTACCCCCCCCCCCCCCTTTCTCCCTCTCTCTCTCTCTCTCACACACACACACTCACTCTCTCTCTCTCTCTCTCTCTCTCGTTTGTGGCTTAGGCGTTGCGAACGAGCTTCGTAGTGACGAGGTGCTGGGTTCGATCCCAGCTGCGAGCCTTGCGCCTTGCGTTAATTTCGACAGTGGTATCGAAAAACCACAACAGCCCAAAAATGCTAGGGTTGGTTGGGCAACGTCATGTAAAGGATACGCAACAAACTTCAACTCTTTCTCTCTCTCTTACTCGCTCTCTCTCTCTCTCTCTCTCTCTCTCTCTCTCTTCCTAGACCCCTCTCTCTCTCTCTCTCTCTATCTCTCTCTCTCTTTTTCTTTCTCTCTCTCTCTCTCTCTCTCTCTCTCTCTCTCTCTCTCTCTCTCTCTCTCTCTCTCTCTCTCTCAGACCAACCCTAATAACTTGAACCCCAACTTTTATTTGTCGTTCGTGAATGTGAAGATGTTAAGCTGACTAGTTCTACTTCTGGTCTGGTCTGATATCTTTTCTTGCTCTATAGAAAGGATCATAAATCACGTCCCATGGCGAGGGCGAGTGTGATTAGCAAGATCAACCGGCGTAAAGAAGTAGCTTCCATAATAAGTGAACGCGATCTCAGGACCATCACATCTGTCCTGCAATGTTTCTTGTTAGATACTCTGCTGCTAACCTGCTTGCAAGCATGTCTCCACTTTCCTTAACCCCACTGACCCCCCCCCCCCCCCATCCCCACCCCGGGTCCACTATGCAACCCGACCATAACATCCTGTTTCCATTTACCCACAACAGAAAGAACTTTATTTTCAAAGGGTTAAGAACTGGGCGAGGAGCGGCTGGCCGAGGGGCTACAATGTCGAGCTCTCACGCGGGAGACACGAGTTCGACCTCCGGTAAGACGATGGTATTTTTCTGAAATTCAATATCCTAACCTGCACAGTGCGTGGCGACAGCACTAGCCAGGTGGCCTCAAATGTTCAGACTCAAGCCCTTCCCCCCCCCCCTCCCCCATGTCTACACCTCCCTAAAAAAGTGATAAATCAGGCAGTAGTGAGAGACAGTTTATAAACTGGACACGAACCACACAAGACAGGACGTCCATACTCACGTCTGTTGGTTCTGACTGTTTGGCGGTCTGGGCTGCTCGCAAGTCTCCGTTTCCACAATGACTTCGTCCAGATACTGTCGGTTCGGTGTCCCAAAAATCAATGTACAAAAAATAATTAATTAAAAAATGAATACATGTCTATGAATAAAATAAATAACAAGAATCAAGTTTATATAACCTCTACTCCTTTTTTTTTTTTTTTTTTTTTTTTTTTTTTTTTTTTGATAGGTGAACTCTCTCAGTACCGAGTACCTCATTATGCGTTTCTTGGCATTTACATACATCATATTATGCACTACACACGTTACATTACACATGCAGTAAATGCTGCATAAGATCGAAGGCAGGGTTGTCAAGAACTTTTATAGTGAACTCTGGTGTGCGTCAGGGCTGTGTACTATCTCCGCTTCTGTTTATAACATACATGGATACCATGAACTTTCATCATGAAGAAGATATTACAGAATTACTTTTCGCCGACGACCAGGTACTCATAGCAGAAAATACGGAACACCCTGAGACAAACAGAGGAATTTAAGTATTTGGGAGCAATTTTTACATCATACGGAAAACTGGACAGAGAAATTAGCTCCAGATGTGCCAAAGCTAATCAAGTAATGGGTCAACTATCTCCCCAGTTGACACACAAGCAGATACCTCGAAGTACTAAAATGAATCTTATCAGAACTATTTTTTTGGCCAACACAATGCTATCAATGCCAAACGTGGACACTTACATCCTCCAAAGAACGTAAAATTGTGACAACAGAGATGAAATGCCTTAGAAGAGCTGCAGGAGTTTTAAGGAAAGACAGAATACGAAATCATGAAATCAGACGAATGCTAGGAATAAAGGCCAAAGCCAGTCTTACAGGTCATCAAAGAACAACAAGTGAAGTGGTTTGGACACCTAACAAGAATGCCCAGGTACTATCTGCCACAGCGAGCCACACTAAAACGTTACAACGGGTATAGAGCGAGTGGAAGACCTCGGAAAATATGGAGTGATGGCATTAAGAACAGCCTTACAGAAATGAACATCAGTCTTAATAGTGCTCTTGACAGAGCTCATCAATGAACATTACATCTCTCCCATACACTTCGATGAGGTACAAGGTGGAAGAGAAGAAGAAGAAGTTTCCCCGATGTACTTGATGTTGCACCGTTTGCAGATGATAGCATAGATGACGTTCCTACTAGTGCAGGAGAGTTTTTGTGGAAAGTACTCAGGGGACGGCCGGAAACACACCCGATAAACGGGTTGTCGGAGTGAAAACGAAACGTGTCGTTAGCCCACGTTGGTGACGTCAGGTCAAGCTGATGAAGTCAGCACTACGTCCCGGCAGCTGGACAAAGCCTTGGTTCGGTGGACCATTTAGCCTGCGCACACATTTTCTAGGTAGTCGGGGTTCTAGCCCCCTTAATAATTATTTGGGTGGTGGGGCGGGGGAGGGGGGTTGAGCGTGTTAAAAGTAACTGAGCACCCAGCTTGCGCTGCGTAAGCTAAAAATACCACATATACTCTATATAATAAAAGCCTGGTTGTTTCAGATATTCGAGAATACCGACAACCAAGAAGAAGAAAAACGTCGACACCCTGCATGACCTGAACATCACACTGATGTGTTCTGGAGACGTCAAAAGTCATAGTGGTCTGCGGATAACGGTAAATTAGGGGGGGGGGGGTGGACCAACGCAGAGGTCGACTTCATCGAATGTGGATACATAAAAATGAAGATGCACTGTCTTGAAAAAGAGGACAATTAGCCAGATAACGAGCGACGTTGAGCCTTACCGTGAATGGTGAAGACAGCGACGTTCTGTAAAGAACATATTTATTGGCTGATTAGTTGTTCTACTAAGATGGAGCAATGTACTACTACAGCTATGTTTCGGGGGGGGGGGGGGGGTAGGCGGAGACTAGTTCTACCAGAATGGAAAAATGTTTGATGGAACGATGTTCGAAGTCCTAAGGTACCAACCTGGCACATCCACAGCACTGAATGTTGAACGCTGAATTAAGAATCTTCATCTTAGCACCCGGGACCCCCCTCATAAACGCTCCCCGATCTTTAGCAGCCAGCGAAAGGTTCCAATTCCGATGGTGCCAGTAACTGTCTGTTTGTACATCCGAACGATATCACTGAGTACTCCCTAACTTATTTTAATACCATACATTTGTTTTCATCTTCACCATTATCATAAACCACTTCTGCCGTTAAGCGACGTGGGGAGGAATAATTTGTGATCCAGCGTACGCTGGCTGCCACTGGCTATTGTTATGCTGTGAAGGCGTTGTGTCTTTAATGTTGTCGATCCATGCCTCCGCGGCCGTCCTCTTGCTCTTGTAGCTTATATTATGAGATGTAGTGCTTGTGATGGTATTTGATCTTGCTGCAGTCTAACGAGATGGCCAAACCACTTGATCTGCTGTTTCTCAATGAAACTAGTACAAGTTGTCGTTCCCACAACTTGTCTGATAGTTTCATTATTCACTCGATCTCGGATGGTTAGGTTACAAATTCTGCTGCACCCGACAAATGAACAGCAACACACCCAGCGACAGACTGCCAGGAGGCATTTCACAACCAAAAATATACTAATGATTTCTAACAGTGAAATAACAAGATAGAAAGCGGACCGATCATCCATTCTGTGCAAACAGCAAAGCTGGGAAAGGAGAGGGGTGGGAGCAGGCAAATGCACAAGATAATCATTAAACGAGCACAACAAAATGCTGAAGCGTGATTCGGAATGCTTCACAGTGTTTCAGAAATACAGACAAGAAATAAATGGAGTAACGATATTTGGCAATCGTTCTTCATTCATCTCTTATCTTGGCAGCGTCCATTTCCTGCTTTTATTTGTCTTCTTCTTTCAAAC